GCTCTGGTTCGGGATGTTCGTTTGGTTCAAGAATATTTTCCTCGAGTAATGGCTCGGTTTCTATCATCGTTTCTGGAATCATTTCTTCAGCTAAGACAACGGGTTCCTTGTTAGATGTATTTGATCCTTTTGACTTCCTGCGTTTGTTGGGTGGCGGTTCGATCTCTGGTTCACCATGGTCACGTGCCGCTGCTCGAGACCTTGTAACGACGAGGGTTTCCTTGCTGTCTTGAATGCTTCGCTCCGAGATGCACTCTACCGGAATAACTCTCTTTAACTCAGGATCTGATGTTGACGCCAATGCGGCGAGTGCATCTGCAGTCCCCAAGCTTTCTTCTTTTTTGTTTCACCGGTTTGAAGCTTGGATCTACGTTTAGTTCATGACAAATTATACCCGGATTTATACCCGGCATATCCGCTGCTGACCATGCAAACGACGCTTTGTTTTTCCTTAAGAGTTCGATCAAAGCTTCTTTTATTTGGCCAGTCAAGGTATGCAACATGCATGCAAAACTACCCTAATCATGCAAAGTGATGACAAATGATGAAGAATGGTATGAAACAATGACGAAATGATGATAAAGTGATGCTAAATGGATGCTCAAAACAAGTAAAATATAGACATATCAATCTTCATACGGTGGCTAGCTAAGTAACAAGTTCGTGAAGCTTCTTGATCTCCCCGAATTGTTTCCACCCCATTTGATGTTGGAAATTTGATACATTGATGGTACGTAGAGGGGACTGCTTTCATTCGATAAATCCAGGGAGTCCCGAGGATGATGTTGTAAGCAGCGGGCTTATCGAAGACAACGAAGTCCATGATTTTCGATACCTTCTTGGCAAGGACTGGGAGCTTGATTGTTCCGAGAGACATGGATGACTCGCTTGTGAATGCAACTAACGGAGATGGAGGTCCTACTATGTCTCCTCGGCTGATTCCCATTTTTTCTAGAGTACTTAAAAAGATCAAGTCGACCGAACTGCCTGTATCTATAAGGATCCTTGATACTTCGAAATTTGCGATATCAAGAGTAATGACTAGAGCATCGTCATGCGGTTTTTCGAGATGCCGCGTTTCTTTTTCATCGAATGATATTGATGCACCTTGAAAATCGACTTCTTCGCTTAAGCTTGCTTTGAGTGAGACATTTCGTCGATGCTTTTTGATTGAACTTATTGAATCTCCGCAAAATCTGGATCCTCCTATAATCACATTGATCTTCCCCTTAGAACTTCTCGGTTCTTCCTCGTTGGATAACCTTGGTCTTTTGGAATCCTGATCTTTGGAGTTTTCCTTTACTTCGTGGTACTCCTTCACAAAATCTTTTATATCGAATTTAGAAAGATCACCACTAGCCCAAAGCTCTGCGAGGTGCTTTTTAAGAACGCTGCAATCCTTGGTTAAATGTCCGGTTACTTTATGAATGTCGCAATATAGACTTTCATCACGGACCCAAGTGTTTGATCTTCCTTTCCCTTGGAATTGCTTCCCGACAGAATTGTTGAAGGGTTGCGACCCAAACTTCCTTGGTCCTTTGCTCTCTTTAGGCTCGAACTTCTTGGTAGGGACGGTGATTGCCGGCTTTTCTTGTTTATTCCGCTTGGCAAAACTTTCTTTTTCGTCTTCTACCTCCATCCAATTGTTTGCGCGGAAGAGTGCATCCTGAATTGTGTCTGGTTTATGAAGTATTAAGTCTTCTTTAAACCTTGAATCATGTCGCAATCCTTTTCGTAGGGCAGATAAAGCTGATTGCTGTGAGATTCTTGGGAGTTTTGATAGCACCCCTTTGAATTTGGTGATGAAAACTCGAAGTGACTCATTAGATCCTTGCGTTAAGTTCCAAAGATCGGCATCCGAAACGCTTTTATCCATAAGGATAGAATATTGCTTTAAGAACACGGCTGACAGTTCGTCGAAATTGCTGATCGAACTCGGCTCTAATTGGGTGAACCACATTAGAGCTTGGCCACATAGATTCTCCGAAAACAGCTTGCAATAGCCTGCATCTTCATCAGCTTCATCCAACTCGACTCTTCCTGCAGCGATCAGAAAGGCTGCAAGATAGCTTTTTGGATCCTCCAATCCGCTGTAAGGGTCCAACTTGAGCTTCCGGGAATCTTTGATCCTCAAACTTGCAATTCGCGGGATAAAAGGGGTTCGCCTTGCTTCTTCAATGACTCGATTAATGTCTGGCTCCGAACTTGTAGCCTGATGAAATTTTGATTTCATTTCTTTTAATTCCTGGCTAACCTTCTTCATGGTCTCGAACTGGTCGAGGTTCTCCTGCTCGTACTGAGCTGCAAATTGTTCTTCATCCCCGAGCTGCGTCTCTTCTTCCGACGTCTGAGCTACATTATTTGTAGCACCGGGAGTTGTTTGTCCGCTGGTTTCATTTCGTGCAGCGGAACTTGGCGAGTTGAATATCCCTCTTCGGGTTCCCACCGGGTTTCCTGCACTTAAAGAGCGAACACGAGTTTGTATATTATTGACGTTTTGACTAAGAGATACCTGGGATGTTTGCAACGTATCGACGGCCTTCTCCACATCCGAGAACTTTTGTGATATGTCCGACATGGTTTGCTGCATAGCTTTGAGGGTTTCGGCCAATGATGTTTCAACGGCGTCTCCTCCGGACATTGTCGCTTATCTCGGAAATGTAGAAAAGAAGAAATCTGCCCACTCAAGAATCCTGATATCCCCACAGACGGCGCCAAAATGTGGAAGTCGGATTCACACACTCAAGTATTTTGTTAAATGGGAAAGATTATTCTTGAGGGACAAAAATGAATACGTAAGAACTTGTAAATTGATACGAAAATTGCTATATTATTTCTCTCTTTTTTTTAGATGGTCCCCCCTTTACATGGCCACTGGCCTCTATATTTATACATAGCTAAACGACATTTAAAATGAGTAATTAAGTACAATTATTCCTTCTTAAATGTGTCCGTTTTGATTCTTCGGCTTTAATGCTCAACGTTTGAATTTGAGTTGACTCTGATCTTCACGGGCCTCGCCTCTTCTGGCCCAAATGTCTTCGAACCGACTTACCCGTGTCTTCTACACCGAACTCGCGTCATAGTGCAGTCACTTCGGGTTATCTAAATGGTGACAACCACTTCGTCCATCCTTTCGGCTCGCGGGTCCAATGGGCTTCATCCTTTATGGGCCATTATCCTGATTACGTGGCAATCTTTGGTTGGTCTCGTACTTCTGGTGCGGGATCCGACACCAACAAAGACCTCCATCGGAATATGGGGTGCAGAGTTTATCCCATGCTATCCAATGGATACCATTACTATTTTTATTGGTTTTCCATCAGAAATTAGCAATGGCACTACTTAGTTTAGAGCGAATAGCCTTCGGGAGTAAAAACACGACATAACATATGTCGGAAGTGCATGTGCAATAGACTTTATAAGAACTTCTTTACCACCTCTAGACAAGAATTTTGTTGACCAAGTATTAAGCCTCTTTTGTAGTCTATCTCTCACAAAAGAAAAGACCTGAACCTTAGAGCCATGTATTTTTTCAGGGAGACCCAAGTTCGTTCCCATGCCCCCGTCTTTATGGATTCCTAATGTTGTCTTAACGGTATTTTAGGTTACATTGTCCACATCCTGCCCAATATTACCGAAGATTTAGCAGTATTTAACTGTTGTCCCAAAGCCTCGCCATAAATGAGGAGAATATTAATGATTTCTTGACCTTGAGACGCGTCTGCCTTACAGAAGAATAAACTGTCGTCTGCGAACAACAGGTGGGAGGTGGAAGGACTTGCTCGGGAAATTTGCAAACCTTGAATGCGGCCATTCCATTCTACATCTTTAAGTTTTACAACCAGGGCTTCCGTACATAGAATAAACATGAATGGGGAAATAGGATCACCTTAGCAGATTCCTCTGGACGGTCTAATAAAGCCCCTCGGTGAACCATTTAGGAGAACTTTATACGAGACAGTTTATATTCTTTAAACTAATATTTTTCATAGATATATAAAGCATAGATAAAACCAAATTCCACACATGGGAAGAGCTCACAGAGGAGCAGAACGTAATCCAGAGACTCTGTTGCAAAAGTGCAAACCCCCGAGAAGTCAGTCTTTGACGAGTGTGCAATTATTTAAGTTACTCTAGAGAGGAAGAACGTCAGGTCTAAGAAAGTAGCTCAACCCAAGAGAAAAACAACCTTTATCGAGGACAAAGCCTAGAGAAAGCTAACTTCCACACCTGGAAAGAGCTTACAGAGGAGCAGGAGGTGATCCCGAGACTCCGTTGCAAAAATGCAAAGACAACACTCATCAGATTGAATTTATTCCCAAGAAACCTGTCTTTGACGAATGGACAATTATTTAAGTGTCTCAGAAGAGGAAGAGCGTCAGGTCCAAGACAGCAGCTCAGCCCAAGAGCAAAACAACTTTTGTCGAGAATAAAGCTTAGAGAAAACCAAATTTCACACCTCGGAAGAGCTCACAGAGGAACATGAGGTGATTTTGAGACTCCGTTGCAAAAGTGCATAGACAACATTCATCGGATTGAATTTATCCCCAAGAAACCTGTTTTTAACGAGTGGTCTATTTTTTAAGTGACTAACCCACATATTAAAAACATGCTTAAACACATCACCTTTGAACCAAACTAAGGCAGTGTGGAGAAAAAATCATGACACACAACATCAACCAAAATCGAGTTTTTTATTGTATATTTTATGCAACTATTATTATTTTAATAATATATCTATTGTTTAAATATATCATTTTTCTCATTTATGTTTCTATTATATATATATAGATTAAACACTATTAATTGTTCATTACTAATAATGGTATTAAAACCCCTACAACCCCGCGTCGGGCGCGGGGACCACCCCTAGTTTATCAGTAATTCTCTTATATTATAAAACTGAGTATACCTTAATCGAAATTTCTGCTGCAAATCTGCAATTTATCAAACTATCAACCAATAGGACTAAAACAAATATAGTTTATATAATAAGATATTTAAAACAATATTTTAATAAAACACATAGTTAAAGTCTTAAAGATATAGTGTAACATTGTAAGTTCATATCAATTAATCACGTTTACAAAAAGGTATTCCCTCTAATAAAGATTTAAATCAGATTGACTACACACTTACGCTTGACATAGCTTTCTCAAGGTAATGGAGATTCTTCGTTTCTGATCAATTTCTTCTCCTTCCCATACCTGAAACCCATTCTGCTTTCGATTAATCTCGTGTTTCCATCGATACCGAGCTTCTCCAGACATGAGGATGAGAGATCCCGGGGTCAACAAAATATCCACATATTCATCTTCTTCCTTTTCTGCGGGACTGAACCGCATCACGCAAGGTGACTCCAGAGAGACAATGGCAATTCCATCTTCAAAACGCAGCAGATCAACATGTGCACAAATTCCCTGTTGAAAGATCATTGCATTTTCATGAAATCTTGATCTGCCTTCACCCATTTTCAAACTAACTAATTGAAATGCTTCAAGAAACTGAGAAAGACAAGAGGTTACTCTATTGGGTTCTTCTAGCATTTGCACCATCATCCAAACTTTTTTTTGTATTTTGTCGAAATCTTGGTCTAATGTCTGTCTATGACTGGTTATCTGCTTTCACTCATTGTGAATCGCTCTTAAACTATCTAATTCATATTCTCCATGAAACCAGAACAAGATGTTACTCTATTGGTTCTTCTAGCTTTTTGCATTATCCCCTGTTAAATATCATCCAGTTTTTTGCATTGTCACGAATTCATGTTCTAATGTCTCAGTAACCTATGACTAATTATCTGCTTATTTTGAAACTCTCTTAAATTATCTATTTCTAATCCTTCAAGAAACCATGACAAGCTGTAAATCTAGTGGTTCTACTAAAGAAGAGCGAAAGTGTTTACTAAGTAAGAAAGATGCTAAGAGCAAAGTGAAAGTACCGCACCTCACCTGGTTGGTATAAATTGACAATGAGCTGGTCAAACAGAGGTTCTCTCCACAGTAAATCAGCAGACAACACCGGAAGATCAACAGATTCCACAGTCTCGCGTATGAGATCAGATAGTTCTGTTGCCCATGAAGGGAGATCACCAAATCTCATCGCCTTTCCGAAAAGAAAAAGACAGAAGCTTTAGTTTCTTTATCATGTCACACTAAACTCCAAGAAGCATCATAGACAAGTATGCAAGCAGGAGTTGTAAATTTTTTTTGTCTAAACTAGTAAGAAGCTAAACCCTTAACATTGCTTTCAAGTAACCAAGGAAAGAACAGTAAGATCATGGGGGGCGAAAAGAAACGAAATTCTGGGTTCGGTACGAAATCAACTAAACAGATGATTGAGGTTTAGTACCTGGTTAATAGATTCTTCAACGAACCAACCTTCTGCAGAAATTTTGGATTAACAAACTTTAGTAAAACAATCGATAACACAACAACACATTTAAGAATTAGAAACAAAAGAAGAGCCAAGGGTACCGTTTAGAATCGCGGAGAGCAAATCAGACTGATGAGCAATAGAGAGAAAGTTTCTACAGAGCCATAAACCATTTATCTCCTCCACTCGCTCCCATACCGTCGACTCTCCGATCCCTATGGTTTCTTTTCCCGGCCGATCTTCATCATCCGATGAATCGCCAAAAGCTGCTCTCAAATTCTCTGCTTCATCCTCCATTATTTTATTTGGGCTTCTTCTCTATTTCTTTTACGAGCTATTTATAAATTCTTTTTTTTTTTTTGGTAAATGTATTTTTTTTTTCCTTCTTCTTGGTAAAAGTATTTATAAATTCTTGTAAACGTCTTTGATAATAATTTCAATCAAAGTATCGAATTGGGCAAAAACATAATTAGAATCAGCAAGATTCTCTTGATAATACGAGGAACAACAAGAGAGAGGTATGAATTAGTGACACCAAATAATCATCTCAATAGAACAAGAAATCAACTTTTCTCACAAATTCTCATAACGAAAAGCTTTTCTATTTAAAGAAAAACTCCCTAATCCTAAAGATCAGTTATCTCCTGATCCAAAAATCCTCTTGTAGATTGATATGGCAAGGGGAAGAAGAGCCATGACAGCAATCTGCAACTGATCTGAACTGCTGGTTCGGACTGTTAAACGCCCATTCCTTTTGCTGTCAAGACTTGCAAAAGCTGTTACCTTTGTTTGTCTTCCAGCAGAGACTTGATGTCGTACATTGGATGTGACTGTTAAATCATCTTTCGACTTCTTTAGAGACACTCCCATATGGGATTGGTTTTGGCCTATTGGGAAATCTGCTTCTCTAAGCCTGACCTCGAGGTTTCATTCATAAGCTGAGTCTCCTTGTGACCTCGTGGTCCCTGCATTTCCCACGAGGACGACCCGTTTTCCCAAGGCGATCTGTTTCTCGAGTTTGAGACCACTGGGAATTTTCCCACCAAAGAATGTCACTAGCCCTCCAAGAGTCGTCTCATTCCTCTTTGAGTTCTTGAATTTGGTTTCTCCTTTTAACGTATACATAAGTTGCTCACTTCCCTGGATAACAAGCCCTGCCATGGTAGATCCATAGTCCCCGTGCTTAGCACAGATAGAGGAGTCTAGATGAATGTTGAACTCTTTCTTGTCCTTGGTCACTTGGGCACTAACTGCGGCAGGGAATCGATTAGATATGGCGAGACTCTGTTCTGCGATAACACAGTCAAGTCCACAATCATGGTCTCAGCCTTGGGGGTTCAACACTGACCTGGTAATAAGCTGGGAAGTGGGTTCCAGACGACGGTAACGATAAGCTGAGTTATCACTGTCAAATGAAGGTGGCAAGACGACATCCAGTAATACAACAGGAGCCAATGCAGGTGGAGCCTCTTCTTCTTCAGGGTAACAATACTCACTTTCAGTGACCTTCTTCTTCCCGTTTTTCTTTATCTCTCTCATCCTCCTCAACTCCTCCCTCCATTGTTTCTTCTGCAAAAGCTTTACCCTGTAATCATACTCGTCAAAGTAAGCTTTTCTCTGTTCCTATGAGAGTTTTGCAAGTTGAGTTTTTCCAAGAGGCTTAAATGGTGGCAGCTGTTCATACTCGTCATCTTCCCCATCTTCCTGCTCAGAATCAGACACATCAATTTCGATATCAGAATCAACACTATCACCGCCTTGATCTGCAGGGAGCTTAGGATGTGCACGGGACTGCAACAGCCAAGACAACAAGTTAGGGAGAGGCAGCGCTGGAACTTGGAAACCAAATAATTTACGATGGTCCAATGCTTCTAGAGGCTTCAATAGAGAACGTGTATTTGAAATAAGCTTCTTAGAGTAGCACAAAAGTAACAGCTAAGGTCTCCAAGATTTGGGAGAACCTTCACTCCCTCCCGGTTCTTCCTACATAAGGGATGATTCTCAACAAGAGAAACTTTGTTCACTAATCTTGGGTTTATCAAGCGTAGATCACCAACGGCATGTCCAATAGACTGTTGAACAATATGTGAGCACTGTTCTACAAACACATCATAGCTCAAAGGAGTGTCATACGGGCCATCAGGAGGGGCACAACCAGCATGGGTCAATAACACTATGGCGTTTTTCAATATGGATGAACCAAGAGACGCAGTAATCGTCCTTAGCAAGGGCATATTGTCCAAGCCTCTATTCTGAGCATCAAGACGATCAACATAAAGAACCATATCAGGGGGACACTTCTTCATTATCTTCTTCACTGAAGACAACATTTTGGAATTGGCGCTTTGATCCATGGCAGAAGACTTTAAGCCCGGAGTGTCGATGATTGTGACCTTGACACCACCCACCGTTCCAGAAATTTCTAGAACTGAAGTGGTGGATGGTTGAAATGCATGAATTGATGCCTTCTGATCACCCAAGATGGAATTTATCGTAGCACTTTTCCCCACTCCGGATTTTCCAAGGACCAATATGTTTAGGGAGAAATTTAAGTCTTTTCCCTTAGCCTCAGACTCCATAACCATCTTCTTTGCAGCGTCAAGACTGAACAACTGACCAGAATGTCTCAAAGTAAGAAATGCAAGAGCATAAAGCACATGCACTGCTATTGAATCTTCTACAGACTGCTCCAACCTATGCACAAGACGCAAATATTTTACACGCATACTTTGCAATTTTTCTAACTTATGTTTCTCTTCCTCGCTCAAGTTATTCTCACTCTCTCCACCCATTTGAACTTTTAGACTAGGAAAGATGTTGGAATGATTTGGAAGTGGGGCTGGAGATTGAACAAATCTTAAAGAGGAACCCAGACCAGCTTGAGGTTCCATAGAAAAAAGCTTCATTACATCCTGCGATATGGTAAAATTACCACCATCTGAACTTCCACTAGTGGCTGCCTTTAGAAACGCAGTCAAAGCCGCAGAATCAAAAGTTTTCTCCTCAACGTCATCATTCGTGTCTACTTCCTCGTCAGAATCAGTGAAAATCTGGCCATCAATCCTATCAACGTGATGGTTAGGAATGTTTGTTTCATCGGAATGGACTTGAATACCAGAAGAAACCTCTTCCAACTCTTCCAAGAACTGTTCTCCAGATTTTGAACTCCCTATTATCATCCCTTTAGTGTCTTCATCACTTTCAGACCCAACAACACCTTCTCCAGAAGATGCCTGTTTGATTTCCATGTCTTCAGCACTAAACTCACATGTAGAAACAGTCTCCTGAATATTCAGAGTGTTCTTATCAACCACATCAACATGCAGAGACTCCGTGGTTAATAGTTCCATAATAAAGTTTCTTAACTTCACAGCCTCTTTTTCTACGACCTGATCAATATTATCTTCATCATCGACTTTATCACTAAACCAAGACTTCTCCTTTTTCGTTCCATCTTCAGATACTAAAACATCTACCTTTTTCACCTCATCATAGGCTTCTTCCACACCCTTTACTTCATTCTCACTCTCCTTATCTCCAATTTCCTCTTTCTCAATTACATAAGAAACTAGAGTCTCATCCACAACCTCTTTCTCTTCAACATCAACACTCACAAATTCAAACTTACCCACACCATCCTCCGTAATCTTTTTTCACCGCTTCTTCTAAATCCTTTACTTCGTTCTCACTCTCCCTTACCTCAATTTCATCTTTCTCGGTTTCATAAGAAACCAAATTCTCATCTACAACATCAACACTCACATTTTCAAATTTACCCACACTATCTTCCTCAATCTCTTTCATAGCTTCTTCAACCCCAATTCTTTCTCCCTCTATTTCCGAAGAAACAGAATCGTCCGTAACAATCTCAGTCATCGGAGAAACTGATTGATCCAAGTCAAATAAACCAATATCATCAGCTCGATCAATATCGCAACATTCCGATTTTCCCGCTAAAGACTGAGACGAGGTATCGAAATCGTTAACAAAACTCAGAGCACCAAGCTCGTTACCACCACCATCACCGGAAACAACAGAGGCCCAAGTTCGTCCTGTAAGAAATTGAAAATCTCTCTCCAATCAAAAAAAAATCTCCGATTCGAGTAAAAACCAACGGAAGAAGATGAATAGAAAAGTTAGAAACGATGAAACAACCTGATAGCTTCGAAGCGTAAAACGAAGTTTGATCTGATACTACCATCGACGACACTACTACTACTGGTGTCTAAAGCTTCAAACTTTTACGAAACTTGTGGAGAAGGAGATAACAATGGCGTTTTAGGGTTTAAGGAATTTACCCCCTTTCTTCTACTTTTGAGGATTTATGAATTGCAGATTAAAAACACAATTTTAACGATTTTATACCTGTCACATTTTTTTCTTTATTTAATAAATGACCGAAGTACCCTTAGTTTTTAGTCGGTGAAGTTCATAGATCTTGTGGTAATTTGGTCTTTGCATTCAAATTGCTGACTGGATCTTTTTTTTTTTTTTTTGAATCATATTTTTTTGTTATAATCTTTAAGAAAAAAGTTGTTAATGAATCTTTAAAAAAAATTGGTTATAAAGCTGAAGCATATTTACATTAGAGTATTAGACAAGGGATGAAAAAAAAAAAATATTAGACAAGGAAAATCACAACTTGGTAAAAAATTTTGATATTCATAAATTTACATTATTTGCTAGATTTTATAATTTATATATTTCTATAAAGTTAGATGTGATGATATATATTTAATTTTCCTTAAATGAACATTCACATTGTAACCGCCATAAATTAAATTACAAAAAGGTCACGTGATGTGGCACTGGCATGCATGGATGTGTATATAGTCAAAAAGACTTATTAGACTGGATTCATGCGAACACGTGCCCAATACAAAACCAACGGTTAGACGAACCGATACCCCCAAAGTGTTATTGTTCATCGAACGAAACATGTGTTGTTGTTGTTGTTGTTGTGTAGTAGCGAACTAACCGGTCCGGTATTTTTTCTTCTTTAAAAAAGATTCTTTACGATTTCATGTTCTTGGTCAAACATTATTGATTTGATTTCGATAAACCTATTCTTGAGGATTCTATTATATATAGAACTTGGGTGATTTAGTTTGACTTTTTCTTTACTTCATTTGTTGTTTTTTTTGGTCTTAAGAATTAAGATTGGATGAGATTTTTCTCCCAATAATTCCTCCCCCATCGTTACACATTCAGGTATGTTATACATGCCTCAAAAACGCCCTTTTGTCTAAATTTACAAAATCTTATAAATATCTTAAAGCTATATCAAAATATCACATTACAATTAAAGAGTTTGGAATTTATGAGAAATATAAAATAAATC